ATCGTTCACCGATCTGGGACCCGATCGTCGTTTGGGTCACGTTTTAGGTGGTCACGATTTATTCTGCCCGTGACAATGCTATTAAACGTCTTTTGTATTTAAAACCTGCTATTACACAATTATACTTAACTCTTACTAATCATACTCTTAGAGAAGTTAAAAAAGAAGTAGAAACTATAGATTCTTTTATTCCTTCTTCGGAAGAATTTGAATTATTGAAAGAACTCATTAAAATTCTTTCTCCTTTTGATGAAGTAACGCAATTTTTAAGCGGATCAAAATATCTGACACTTGGTTTTATAATACCAATTTTGGAGGAACTTGTTCATCGGCTTAGAAATTTTGATAGAATAAATGATACAGCAATTCTTGTTAGAGATACGATTTTAGAAAATTTAATTGAACGGTGGGAAGAGCCAAGTGAGATAGGCATGTGTTGCTCCTTTCTTGACCCATGGTTTAAAAAATTAGACTTCAGCACTAGTATTTTACACCATACAACTATTCAGAATATGCGTCATCAATTTAATGAATTGTGTCCAATATGAGCTACTAGTAATGATAATGAAACATCTAATAATAATCTAACTTCAACACCTTCGCATCAATATAAAAAAGCAAAAATAACATCGTTTTTTACACATTTACAATTAGAAAATCTTAATACTGAGTCTACTGAATTTGACCAATATTGCGAGTTCCACTTGAAGAAGAACCTTGCCCCTTAGACTGGTGGCGTAAACATAAAGCCATTTTTCCTACTATGGCAATTTTAGCAAGGTAGTACCTTGCAGTACCAGCCTCCTCTGTACCATCAGAGCGTCTATTTTCTGATACTGGCAATTATGTAACAGATAAGCGTAATAGAATTGATCCTGATTTATTAAATCAATTAATATTTCTTAAAAAAAATATGCGTTATATTAACCTTTTTTTTTAGCTAGTCGTTTATATCTTTTATATATTGAATATTTATAAAATATTATTTTGTTCTTTAAAAATTTACAATATTTACTATTAAATAGCGATTTATAGGATTTAAATTCGTAAGTATTACATTCATATATTATTTCATTTAAATTCAAACTTAATATATTTATTTTAAATAACATCTTTAGTAAGAAATAAAGTTTATATCTTGCTTTTTAAATAATACCTGGTTATTTAATTCTATGATTTGGCCATGAAAATTTAGTTGGCAAATTATTTTTGTAAGTATAAATTTTATTTAAACTTTGCAATTTAAATTTATAAGTATTTATTTACTTTTAAATAATATTTCTAGATATTTAATTTGTGTTAAGTCTACTAATATTTATTTAAGATTTATAACATCAGAAAATTTTTTATATAGATATATATCAATATATAGCAAAAAATCGATATATATCGATAAGATAAAAACGGCAT